TCCCCCCCCCCTTTTTTTGAATTGTGAGCCGCCCTGAGTCCCCCCGGGGAAAAGGGCGGCATACAAATAAAGGAAACTTAAACACAGATGCCTATTATATGCTATTCCCAGTTCTAAAATTTAAAATAAAATAGTATTGCCTTTGGGCCTGTTTTGAAATGTTGCTAAATTCCTTAACCGTAGGAGTTATGCTCATCTACATGGTGCCACATTGATGACAAAGTAGGAAATTTGACTAATTGATGGGCCATAAACAAGATTAGGCTCGCATAGCAATTACGGTAACAGGTTCCCATCTTTAAAAGAATGCATTTCAAAAGCTGGATGTTAGAACTGAATAAATTACACCTCTCAGTATATGTAAAGGCGTTTTCAATATAATACTATGATCATTCCTGCCTTTGGAAAATTACCTAATGTCATTGTTTCTAGATAATGTTGAATAAGATTATTATTCAAACCTTTGAAGATAAAGACAATTGTAACCATCACAACTTTTTTTCTAATCATACAGACTTTCTGTCAGCATAAGCAGTGCTGCAAATTTGATTTTCAAGAAGAAAATAATAAAAAATCTAATTCAAGTGATTTCAGCGATCCAATCTACAAAGAGATTTCTCTGACAAATGGCTATATCAATAGAATGAATAGAGAAGAGCTGAGAGCTAAACTCGCTGAATTCAGACTTGACACGAGGTAACTGTGTGTGAGTGCATACATTTTCTGATGTGTTTCTTACTACATATATAAAGGTAGCATTAATAAAGCCACCTCTTGTGGATCTCTCTTCTGAGATGTTTTATCATTTGTAGAAAGAAGAAACTACATTATGAATAATTATTTCTGCACAAGGCTTTGTCGTTGGAAGAGTTTGTTGGCAAAGAATGATTTCACACTGCAGAGTCATTAAGCAGATTTTTCAGTATGAAATCTTGTGTGAAGTTGTGATGCTAGAATTTGAATTGTAGCATTATATACCGTATTTTTCGGAGTATAAGATGCTCCGAAGTATAAGACGCACTTAGCTTTTGGGGAGGAAAACAAGAAAAACAATTTGCCTCTGCCTCCCAGCAATTTGCTTCCTTACAGAAGACAGCCTGTTTCAGTTTAGCCTGATTAACACAAGGAAAAAAGAAATCTGCCTCTGTCTCCCAGCAATTTGCCTCCTTGCAGCAAACAGTGTTTCAATTTCAATTTCAGCACAGCTTGATTAGCACAGCAGCTGATTGTCAGTTGGATCAACCTCCCAATCATCAACTGTTTCAGGCTGCAGGGATTGCCATTGCCTATTGCCACCTGCACCACTGTTCCCTCTAAGGTGCGCGGCTGCGCGGCCGCACACGTGGCAAGAAAACACCGTGCAGCCGTTTCTAACTGCGCAGTGATTTCTGTCACAGGCTCCGGAAGCTGAGGGGAATATCTGCTGCCGCCTCCTCCTCCTCCAACAGCACTGCCGGATTTGCCGCCAACCCTGCAGCTGAGGTGAAGCTGCCAAAGCTCCCGTCAGCACCCCCGCCCGTGGCAGTGGTGCCTCTCCCTCCACGCAGAGCACCTGAGCTGGCCCCCGCGTTATCCCTCCCCCTTCCTCCTCCGCCATGCTTTTGAGGAGCCATTTAGCCGCGGGCGCTAGTAGGGAGGGGGCGGAGGGGGCGGGAGCAGAAAAAAAGGCCTCATGGCTTCTCAAAAGCACGGTGGAGGTGGAGGCGGCGGCAGGGGTAACCCAGAGCCCAGCTGAGGTGCTCCGAGCGGAGGGGGAGGCACCGCCGCCGCTGCCATGGGCGGGGGCGCATGCGGGAGCGTTGGAGGCTTCACCTCGGCTGCAGCATTGGCGGCAAATCCGGCAGTGCTGTTGGAGGAGGAGGAGACGGCGGCAGCAGATATTCCCCTCAGCTTCCGGAANCCGCCTACCAGACATCTGGAAACCAGCCCTAGTCAACAAATGAACCCCACCCACCACCCAGGTCGTTACAACACAAAAGAACAACGGACACACAGCCAGCACCTCACCCATACAGGATGATACGAAACAGCCGACCAATCTACAAACATCAACTCCATCTACCAATCAGAATCCAATTACACACCCAATCAACTCACTTACAGCAACAAAGCCAACACTCCACACACCCCCACCAAGATTTATAGAAAGACAACAGCTCTGACTACACCTTACTCGCACAAGCACGAAGCTGAAAACACCACCTGAAGTTGGCAAGTGGGACCTCGCCGAAACATTGCCAAGACAACCTCAATCTTACACAGGAGAAGACCCAAATACAACAAGACCAGCATACCTACACCTGTGAAAATCTATGTTTTTGTACATTTTCATGGATGTAGGTGTACTGGTCTTGTTGTATTGGGGTCTTTTCCCGTGTAAGATTGAGATTGTCTTGGCAACATTTCGGCGGTCTCACTCACCATCTTCAGGCTGTTGTTTTCAGCTTTGTGCTTCTTTGAGTAAAGAAAACAAAAAAATGGATCATCAGACAAATCAGTTCTGAGTTCTCACTTAAGACACAACATTTTAAATTGTCATACTTCAAATATATCATGTGTATAGCTCTCTGGAGAAAGGTCTAAGGAGGCTTTCTCCTTTCTAGGCATGGTGGAAAAAAGAGAAGAAGGGGACAACTGGCAGGAAGGTAGATGAACTGAATTACAGAGGTGATCTGAATAATGCTGGAAGATATGAAAAACGAGATTGTGGACACATCATCACAGGAAAGAAAACTATCTTTGTGGTCACAAAGAGTTAACACCAACTTGATGGTGAAATCATAATCATCTATTCAAGGTCTTTTTAGCTGAATATGTGCCCAGTGTTTTCCTGTTTATACTGTGTATTTGCACCCAGTGAAATAAAATACTTAATTTAGTGCCCTGAACTTTCTAAATATTTTATTTTTATGATAGGTTGCACAGTTGTAATAAAACACAACATCTTAATGTATCTTCAAAAGAGCAGGATGCCAAGCAGCTAAATATCAGAAATTAACATATATTTTAGGCACTCTAAAAGATAATAATGGTCTACAAATTTAAAAGCCACAGTGTATTTCCCAATCATAAGCAAGGAAACATTAATTTTTCTTTAAAGTTATTCTGAAATCTAGATGACAGCATCCATTCATTTCATACCCTTCTTCTTGGCCCAGCATTTTGCTATAAATTCTATGTAGCAAAATTACCAAGGAAGAAAGCTATTCCTTTTTAAATAGTCCAATAAAATCACAGCATTTTCTCTTTTGGATCACTTGCAACAGAAACAGATATAACCATTAAAGAAAAGAAGGCTGACATTTAAGCTTTGAACCATAAGGCGCTATATATTGGTTTATTACTGTAATAATATTTCAATGTATAAACTGTCATCCGTGATAAAACTGTTAAGTTCAGTGCAACTCCAGTTGGTTTATTGTAAAACTGGGCCATATTTTTCCTTTGGAAACAGTTACAGACATTTATAGATTCGGCTTAACTTTCTCTTTGAATCTGTGATGGATAATAAAGGTTTGGGAAGATACCAAAATTGTGTTTATTTATGCAATTTAGTGGTTATTCGCCTGAGTGTCATTCCTTTCGTGCTATAAAAATGTTAATTCATTTTGTATTTCCTAATTTTTATCTCTCTCTATGTATCTCTATCTACCTATTTATCCATCCATCCATCCATCCATCCAGTTATCCATCTAGCTATGTAGGCAGCTATCTAGATAGTTATCTAGCTATCATCTGCAATATTCTGTAAAAACTCATATTTTATTCTTGTTATGGGATATGAAACTTAGTCTATGGTCCTGCCTGCTTTAAACCTTTAAAGTATAATGTAGTAGAGGAGCCATGGTGGTGCAGTGGTTAGAATGCAGTACAGCAGGAGTTCAATTCTGAGTGGCTCATGGTTGACTCGGCTTTCCATCATTCTGGGGTAGGCACAATGAAGATGCAGATTGCTAACATTGTAAATCACTTTGAGAGGGCTGTAAAGCACTATGAAGCAGTATATAAGTCTAAGTGCTATTGCTATTCCCACCACTGTTCCCTCTAAGCTGCGCGGCTGCGCGGCCACGCACGTGGCAACAAAACACCGCGCAGCAGTTTCCAACTGCCGCGCAGTGGTTTTTGTGCGATGTCTTCCACCATAATAGGAGAGGAGAGCCAGCCTGGAGACAGCAATCAGTTCTAGATCCACAAGGCAGAAAGTAAGTAGCTCAGAGAAGGGGTGTGGGGGTTGGGAGAAGCCATGGGACGGGTTCCCAGCATCGGCTGCTCAGATTTGCCAGAGAGGGAGGGAGAGAGGGAGGGAGGGAGG